GACTTGCACTGAATAACTCATTTGTAATAGTCGTAGAAGGAAAAAACTCTTGAATTCTGCTTTAAAAAAATCACCAAATATTTCCTCTTTAGTTAACTCTTTAAAGTATGTTTTATTGATGTTGTTCAACAGCAAAACCAGTCATTAAAATATTACACATATTAGCCATTTTTCGGGAAATCGAAGGCAACTGTTTCCATTCACCTTGTCCTTCCAGTGCGCTTTAGATGCTTCGCATTTTTTAAGGTCGGGCTCCGGGCAGGCACGAGGACATCCTGAATCTGAAAAACACCCCAAAAAGGAAAGAAAAAATGAACAAGTGTAAGGTCGACAAAAAACTCTAATTTACCAACTAATGAAAAAAGATGTGTATGTGAAAAGGCAGATATAGACCTTTTACCTTTTTTTATGAAAGAAGTCATGAGCTTATCACGCCCTCCCTCTCTCCTAACAACCAGCTACCAAAAAATAAGGTTAAACATAGGCTTATAAGAAAAAAAAATGACCCCTTTTCTCCTCAAATTCTTGCAGATCAACATTTAAGAAAAGAAAAAAGGATCGCTGGGAAAGAAGTTAGAATATGTGAGCGATGAACGCTGTAGTTGCTGCATTGAAATGCATCACCGCGTTTCGTCCATTACCTGCGTCAGCAAGGTACCAGACTAAATAAATATGAACAGGAATACCAGAAGGCGCATTTACAACTCAGCCGTGAAGGCTCAACTGAGGACTGCTTTATCTTTGCGCCTCTTTAATACAAAATCAAATATAAAAGCATTGGATAAGAATCATAGTATTTCTTCCCCCGATTCTCGTTATTGCAGACAACTTTCAGTGGATATCAAAACGCGATTCTTAGACGCCAAACTTTTAGCAACATTGCGGAATTCAGACAGTACAAGTTGGATTGTTTTCAAGGCAAAGAGAGTCGTTCCGAGCGCTTACAGATAACTAGAGACAGGGTTGACTGGGTGGAAATTATTCGCGCGCGAGTGTGTGTGTGTGTGTGTGTGTGTGTGTGTGTGTGTGTGTGTGTGTGTGTGTGTTGGGGAGGGGGGGGCAAGTGGACTTGCACTGAAACCACCCCTCTCCGTCTGTCTCTGTGCCCGAATTAAGACTATTTTAATTCGGGGTAAGTCTGTAGTTTTCCATAAAAATCAACTTTTGGTCTTCAATAATAACTTTATTTCTTTTTTTTTTTTTTTTTGGTCTTCAATAATAACTTTATTTCTTTTTTTTTTTTAACTCGTGGATTGATTTAATTTTTTCTCATTTATTATTACTTATTAATAGTTTTTATTATAATAAACATAATGATCTTTTTGGGGAGGGGGTATCCTAAATATAAGAAAAAACTTTGGGGTCATTTTCTTTGAAACCCGTCTCAGGAGCGATACGTGTGAATTCACCCTTGGCTCGGCTCATCAGCTATGCCACCCTGACGCGAGCGTGCGTCAAAAAGGCACGAGAAATAGGACCCTTTACAAATCCGATCAGAGTATCCAGTTAAACGCTTTTGTTAACTCTGACACGTGCAGAAAAGAAAAAATGCGACAGAAATCGATATTGACCTCCTTAACCTGTTAAGTGGGACCATTCTGTGTAAGTCAAGGGCGGGATTTGCAGGACTTAGGCCTGTTAGGGTTCATTCCCAATGAAACTATCGGTCTACGTTGATCCGGTCAACTCAGCAGGGACTCTCGCTGAATGCAATCAGTTTAACACGCCTGCTCCTCCTGGCGTTGAGTACATTGTACATGTAGAAAATTGAAAAGCTGGTGATTCAACGAACGTGTTGGAAACAAGAAGAGGCGTGTTAGTCTGATAAATAATAATCTGACTGCAGCGAACAAGAGTCCTTGTGGAACAGGGCCCCATAACTGGAAAGCAACATGTATTTCAAATAGCGATAATGTATATATGGGGCGAGTAAGGGCGATTTATGGAATCGAGACGCTTGCGCTCGGTCGCAATGAGTGATGCTTTCAAGTTACTGGACCCAGGATTGTAGTTGCAATGGGAATGAGCTTTCAGGCTAAGCAGATTATCCAGGGTTTCAAAATGACACCAGTACAGTATTTTTACGTCCTATTCAAAGACTACAACCTGCCTTTCGACTACTTAACTTCATAATAATAAAGTATTTTTCAATATTTAAGTAACTACTTAAATAAACAGCGTCAAGAAATGGAGCAAAATTCTCTCATTTTTTTCTGTCATGTATAACCATGTCTCCAGAACTGTCGAACAAGAGATCCAAAATTAAGGCCGAACGCATATAGATCGAGACAGGCGTCCACTAAAAACTAATCACATACATAGGCTCTTTTTTTTCGATTCAAAATGAGGAATCATCTGTGCAAAACATCCAGTTAAACGGCTTTAATTCTTTTAAGGGGGATCCTAGCACAAAATATATCAGTTAACGAATTTTCCTTACGTCAATGATTATGTTAACGTACGCCAATCACATCTTTTTCACATTTTTTCCTTAACCAAACAAATTACCTGTAGTTGTATGTTTAGAAGAACGTTTTCTCGTTAACATAAGTCAAATGAACTACACCGTGTGTTACCTTCTCTTGATATTACACGACTTTCATTTGGCAACTCTTCATTTAAATAAACGTCCTTTTTAAGGGGTATTATTTCCTCGATCATATATTAAAAATTTGATGAAAACAGATAAGTCACTTTGCCAATCTAGTTTAAATGAATACGGCACAATTTGTCAACCTTAGTAGTTAGCGTATGTCTTTGCTTATTTAAATAAGCAAGCCGATATGGCGTGATACATTATCTTACGGCACAAAAGATAAAGTGAATATTTTTTGATATCATACGTGATGCGTAATACATAATTTATGCTTTTTGACATTTCAAAAATACCTTTCTCTATCAATAAACAAGAACGAGTCTTTTCTTGCAAAAGATTTTCTACCTAAACATGTTCTATCAAATCAAAAGATGGCGTTGAATGCGATAGGTGAGACAGGGCTCAACAGACAGAATGTTGAAAATGTTTTCATTCCATTAACTTAGACCAACCTGGACATAGGCCTTCATCAGACTGATGTGAGTAGATGTTATAACTCACTGACCGCAAGGTGGTATAGCGGCCAGGACCCTCTTATAAATGTCAGGTAGATTGACCCCCTTCCTTACCTACACAAACTTGCCCATGTGTCTGTTTGGTTATAATTCTGTGTAACCCTTAATTGGTTCTTACTGTACAAACCAACCTTCTGACAATTCGGTGGGTCAGAAATCCCTCTTATGCCAACTGCATAGCAAAAAATGCCCCCCCTCCCCCCAACATAGAAACTGCATATTAAAAATAGCATTAGCGTTGGGATATTTCAGTCAAGCTAGGTAGGTCAATGACTATGTTCTGCTACCCATATCTCAAATTTACACTATGGGTGCTTTCCCAGAGATTTAGATCGACCTAACTCCCCGGGGGTTCACGCTAAATTGCAGTCAGCCGAGCGCGCACCATAGTTAATTACCCCTTTACAGCTTTTAGTAGGCGGGACAGACGCTTAAGCCGGCCAAGCTGACAGTAATCCAGTGAGACTCCCCACAGGGATAGATCGATCTAAAAATCTATGGAAATGGGGTGTATGATCGGCTGCCTATATGTCACGTAATAGTAAAATCAAATCAATGGGTACCCTTCTAGCGGCGTACATAAATAAGGCAGGGGTAACACTCTTTTGGTAAGGGAGCATATAAATGTCATATTTCTGAAATTTTGTTTCTGAAGTACCTTTGATGTAAGTAAGATATGTAAACAAAAAGTAATGTATTACCCTACCCTCAACCATTTATTAAAGGTATTATTGTTATTTTTCTTAGCAACCACGCCTCAAATAATATGTTTACGATAATGCGGTAAATACATCAAGAGACGCTTCAAGGCACTTTGTGTGTCAGGGTACCGGCTACACTGCATGAACGTCCTCAAAATGGTTTTGAACTTTTACTACTGTACGGGTGAATGTTTTTAGTCATCCAGCAGATTTAAAATGGCAACAACATCAAGGTCATCTATCTAGTGAAAAGTACGGCACTTAATGATATTTCGAACTTTTACTAGGGATGGTACTTTTGACACTGAGTTCTTTTTAATGCCTGGCTCTCACTATTCGCAATTTAAAAATGACTATCACTTCAAAACTGCTTTTTTAAATGCAAAAATAAATTTAAATGATTGTTTCGTTATATTTATTATTTGAAATGTAAGATAATATCATAAATTATAATTATTTGAAATATGAAAAATGATCATTTATTATGGATGTACTTGTTGTCCGTAAGAAATAGCAGTTTTTAACAACTTTGCCAAATGGCACCTTTTTTGGGCGGTGCAAATTAATAAATGCAGCCTCGTGTATTTTTGACGCGTCGGCATTGACTCATAACAATGTTTTTCCGCATTATCTTTGAGGGGAGACGATTTTCCAACGTGTTTCTTTACACTCCAAAACGGGGACGTGATATTTAACATAAATTTGCCTGTGATTTCGTCAACAAGTTGCTAGGATTCTACTTGGTCATGCACATAAGCCAGGACGTTCAACAAACATGGTAATTTGTGTAACTATAAAACTTCAGCAGGTCATCCGAAACAGGTAAATACTGTAAATGGACAATGTATATACTGTAAATGGCTTTCCAAACGTACTAAATATATGCGTCAGTTAAAAAACCTGTTATGATTCGCTGTTTACGAGCTGAGTGACGTAAAAGTAGGCGGTGCGTTGGCAGTAGTTGATATATACGAGTACATTTTACAAGTGAATTTAAAAGGAAAATAAGGTCGTGATTTGCGATTTACTGGTCAGTGTCCGTGTATAAAACCGGTGTGAAAGCAGCATACCATTCCTATAACAATACTGTATCACTGGAAAAATATCATGGGCGCGCTTCAGACCTTTTGGGAAGAACTGGTATTTTATACCTCGCTTCGGACTTTCCTTGTCTTTACCTTAGTATCGATGGTCATTTTCATGATTTTCCAAACTTACCGACGAAAACATAGGAAGAACCTTCCCCCTGGCCCCTGGGGGTTGCCGATATTGGGCTGCTTACCATATCTTGGGAGAAATGCTCACCTTGTACTAACCAGGTGGGCGAAAACCTACGGCGATGTATACAGCGTTCGTTTCGGGACGGTCCCCGTTGTTGTCTTGAACGGCTTTGGCGTTATCAGGGAAGCGCTGGTCAAGCACGGGGCGGACGACCAGACATGTTTACATTTAGGACGCCGCACCACAGGGGGGTGAATTATAAAGGTGGGCTGCCTTTTATTAAGTTATTCAGGCGCGTTTACATTAATATAAATTTATATAAAATATAATAACAATAATAGAAATATTGGGTTTCGGGTGAAATGCATAAAAATATTTAACATCGTTGAAGCATAAGCACTGGGTTTTCATGAATGAAAGCTTTACAAAAACCGCAACAAAAACTAAAAATAATACATTGAACAACAGTTAAAATGACAACTTTAAGAAACGCAGACCACAAATAGCACCGTTCTGTGTAAACAATATAGCAAATGGACTAGTCCTTATAACAAATTTGTATGGGATTGACTTCATCCCTCCGCTGTGGTCTTGTATAAGGTAATTACATACAGCTTCGTCGTGCTAATAAAAGAATTAAAATGTTCCATTTTGATAAAGCTTCACGTGCTGATTCTTTCCCCTGTTAGATGGCATTAGCTATTTTGACGTCACCTGACCATGTGACTTAGACCTGTTGCTTTAGTTTTGCATTTTGAAGTGAGGTGTTTTAAAACACACCTTTTTCTACTTGCTTTTCTTATGTTTATATGGTGGAAATCGGTTATATCATATATCGAGTGTACAGAGTAAGAGCTGTTTCTCTAAAATTCGAAAACTGTCCATTATCCTTTAACGTGCGATAATCTCCGAAATCATACAGAGACACTTTAAACATGAACCCCTCCACTGCCCGCTCCCATAACAGCCGAGTTATTATTTTCCTAAAGCATCACTATCATCATAGTGTATCATTATTATTATTACCGTGTAGCGTGATGTCAAGATAAACCTTTATCCTCGAGTGACCAGTGACCAAAGACCACACAGAAAGGAATATGTCTTCCTACAAGCCACCGAAGTGCGCCTGGAATTTTGTAACTGGATTTTAAATGTTACGTCAATTAATCATCTTTTATATGTTTTTACAGAACAACATGTTTTTATTGAGAAGACCTTCCAACAATTAGTCATATGACCCTTTTTACTTGTATTTGTCCCTTGTTAAAAAGGTACTTGTAATGAATGTAGTAAGGCAATAGCTACAGTAAACTAGTTCCAAAAAAAAAAGATTATTTATCAGCTGTGTTAACGAAGGATGTATATCTTTTAGGTATTTTGGTGGAAAACTACGACAGACTACTTGAGGAAAGGCGCCACTACACCATGCGGCTTTTTCGAATAATCGGGGTCGGTCGGAAAAATCTGGAATCCGCCATTTTCAAACCACAGTTGGAAGTTTTGATGAAAGATTTAACCAACATGGGCGGCAAGGCAACCGATATCTATCCAATTCTACGCGATTCCGTGGCCAATATCACACTCGGGATAGTTTTCGGATTTCATCTTGAACATAATGACTCTCAGTATGAGGGTATTCTGGATACAGTGCACAAAATGTTTGAGCTCAACGCAAAGTTGAGCATAGTGAACTTTGTTCCCTTTCTGGAAAAGCTGCCATTGCCGCGTCTTAAGCAATTCGATGAAGTTTCCACTCGCTTGGTCCTACAAGTAATTGCATGGCTCAAAGGACAGGTAAGCAATCATCACGAAGATTCCAATCACATAAAATCTTTTGCCGATTCGTACAAAACTGACGTTTTGAAGTACAGAGGCCAAAAGACAAATGAGAAAGGACCAGTGAGAATAAATAACAATGAAACAGAGTTATATCATCCTACACAAGCGATTGGACAAGAAAGAAACGACAATTTGGACACCATATTTTCCGAAAACCAAATTATTTCTGTCGCTATCGACCTGATTGTGGCTGGTTTTGAGACTGTTACAACAACGTTACGATGGGGTTGTCTGTATATGGCAATGTACCCTGAAATCCAGGCAAAAGTTCAAGAAGAAATTGACTCCAATTTAGGAGACCGAAATCCAAACATCACAGACAAAGGTACACTGCCGTACACAGAGGCAACCATCATGGAAATACAGCGTCTGAATTGTGTTACTCCATTGGCGGTTCCACATTCTACCACTAAAGACGTGGAATTTCGTGGCTACACCATCCCTAAAGATACCATGGTACTTGTGAACCTGTGGTCTGTCATGACGGACCCCGTATGTTGGCCAAATCCCGAGAAGTTTGACCCGCAGCGCCATCTGAACGAGAGAGGAAGAACCATACGACACGATGTGTTCACTCCATTTTCTCTGGGTGAGTTGCAGACAATTTTAAAATATGATTGGATATTGTAACTATTAATGCCAAAATATGGCACCAAAGAAAAATCAACTTATGACATCCCACCATTATTTTACCATAAACAACTCTCATTTTTTTATAGCGAATGGACTTAACATATATCTTTACAGGTAAACGGTCTTGCGTAGGAGCACCCCTTGCTAGAATGGAGCTCTTCCTTTTCTTTACCTTTTTGATGCAGAAGTTTACATTTCGTCTCCCAAATGGCGCTTCAGCTCCTGTTTTTGAAGAAGGCACCCTCGCATCAACGTTAACCCCTCCTGCGCACCAGCTCTGCGTGGTTAGTAGGGGCAAGAAGACTTAATAACTCCGGCTTATCGGTCAAGATTTGCTGTCGTTTACAGGGGCGGACCCAGGATTATTTGAAGGGGGGTTTGCCAGGCCTCATAAACGATAATTACCGTTGCCGAGCACGAGCCTCAGATTCCCGAGCGCAAACGCCAATATTAACGAGCCGCACCTCAGATTCACAAGCACAACGTAAAGTCAACGAGCACAAACTTAGCGTTGCCAAGCACTATCAATTTGTCCAGCTTCCATCCGGGGCCCTGGCTGCTTATATACGGGTTCTTTTTATCAACTCAGGACTATTTTCAATATGGCGGAAGATACAAGAGACATAACGGTGGAACTTTCAGAGATTTCTGGGCGCAAACGATTACATTATCTCCCCTTTCTGTCTCTTTTCCCGCCTCTAAATAATGGCGCTACGCAAATGATAAATAAGACGCACGTAAAAAAAAAGATTCATCGACTATTTACACCGACTCTGAAATATCTGTTGCCATCTATCAATATTTTAACTTAAGCAAAATAAACGTAGATTATATAAAAATTCTCAAAACATTCCAAAGTACTGCATTAGTATATTGCACTATCCATACCGCGTATTAATACAGCAGCAATGCGTTCTCGACAACCTTCGGCTCATACGGAACATACCGAACGGGTAGATAAGCGGATCAACGGCTAGTGCTTGGCAGCGCTAAGTTTGAGGTCGTTGACTTTACGTTGTGCTTGTGAATCTGAGGTGCGGCTCGTTAATATTGGCGTTTGCGCTCGGGAATCTGAGGCTGGTGCTAGGAAACGCCTAATCCGTTTATGAGGCCTGTTTGCCGATGCGAAGCATCCCCCCCCCCCCCCCAACACATACACACTTGGCATCGGTTTCGGGGCCCTCTGAAGGGCCTCGCAAAAATGTGGTATTTTAGAGGGCGCACGATGCCATTTGGTACGGTTTAGAACTATGATTCAGCTAGTCAAAATTCTAATTTCAAAAGGGGCCATTGGATTTTCCGAAATCGATAGAGGGGGGGGGGCAGGACCCCCATCACCTCCCTCTAAATCTGCCACTGCGTTTATCTGTAAATATTAATATCTGTTTATGACTTTTAACTTGAGCATTTTAATTTTTTAATGTGTGTGATTTTATGTCTTGTGTGTTTAATCCTTGAGGTGGGAATAAATAAATAAATAAATAAATAAATAAATAAANGCCTGGCTTAATTCGTTGAGAATGCGCTCTTAATAACTCCGGCTTATCGGTCAAGATTTGCTGTCGTTTACAGGGGCGGACCCAGGATTAATTGAAGGGGGGTTTGCCAGGCCTCATAAACGATAATTACCGTTGCAGAGCACGAGCCTCAGATTCCCGAGCGCAAACACCAATAGTAACGAGCCGCACCTCAGATTCACAAGCACATCGTAAAGTCAACGAGCACAAACTTAGCGTTGCCAAGCACTATCTATTTGTCCAGCTTCCATCCGGGGCCCTGGCTGCTTACATACGGGTTCTTTTAATCAACTCAGGACTATTTTCAAGATACAAGAGACATAACGGTCGAACTTTCAGAGATTTCTGGGCGCAAACGAGTTACATTCTCTCCCCTTTCTGTCTCTTTTCCCGCCCCTAAATAATGACGCTACGCAAATGATAAATAGGACGCACGTAAAAAAATGATTCATCGACTATTTTCACCGACTCAGAAATATCTGTTGCCATCTATCAATATTTTAACCTGAGCAAAATAAACGTAGATTATATAAAAAATTCTCAAAACATTCCAAAGTACTGCATGAGTATATTCCACTATCCATACCGCGTATTTATACAGCAGCAATGCGTTCTCGACAACCTTCGGCTCATACGGAACATACCGAACGGGTAGATAAGCGGATCAACGGCTAGTGCTTGGCAGCGCTAAGTTTGTGCTCGTTGGCTTTACGTTGTGCTTGTGAATCTGAGGTGCGGCTCGTTAATATTGGCGTTTGCGCTCGGGAATCTGAGGCTCGTGCTAGGAAACGCCTAATCCGTTTATGAGGCCTGTTTGCCGATGCGAAGCATCCCTCCCCCCCATCCTCCAACACATACACACTTGGCATCGGTTTCGGGGCCCGCTGAAGGGCCTCGTAAAAATTTGGTATTTTAGAGGGCGCACGATGCCATTTGGTGCGGTTTAGAACTATGATTCAGCTAGTCAAAATTCTAATTTCAAAAGGGGCCATTGGATTTTCCGAAATCGAAGGAGGGGGGGGGGGGGGCAGGACCCCCATCACCTCCCTCTAAATCTGCCACTGCGTTTATCTGTAAATATTAATATCTGTTTATGACTTTTAACTTGAGCATTTTAATTTTTTAATGTGTGTGATTTTATGTCTTGTGTGTTTAATCCTTGAGGTGGGAATAAATAAATAAATAAATAAATAAATAAATTATTTGTGTTCGTTACTTTGGGATACCCTTATAATCAATGGCAATTATTTTAGACCTCAAACCGAAGAAATGAACCTAGGGTATAACGCGGGTTTAAAACAACAAGAAGACTTGCTTAACGGGGTCATGCATGACGTCATATCTCCGTGACTGCTCGACATCTTCCGCCCGATATATTTATTTTGAAAATTTATTCAAATTCAAACGTTATAATCCTACGATGTTTTGTTATCACGCGTTAGATGCTTCATGGTCAAGAATTGGATCAAACATCAGTGATCCTATTCCACGTTGGTAAAAAAATGTCTTAAATATTCGGGGTGTGAAGAAGATTTGTAAGGGCAACTTACAAGTTTGCCTCTGGCGACGATCGACAGCGCAAATAGAAACGTCTTGCACAGAATAAAAGTTTCCTGTATGGCTGTAAATTGATGTTATTTGCACTTCTCAAATGTAGTCAGTGTGCCACCTGAAATGCCAACATCTAATTATTGTTTTATGGAGTTTGCTACCAAAACTTCAGTGTACCCCAGAGACCTTGTAAAAACCAGGAACCCATCAAACACAAAACGTTTTGTAACGTTACAAAAACGGTACCATAACGGTGTTGAGTCATATAAACGTTGTGGTGAACAGATAACCGACCAATAGATAAGATCCCTGCTTACAATTATTTCTGGGACAATCTGAACATCTGGGCTTCTGTAACTGAGACAATAGGCTGTCTGGTATACTGGCATGTGTCACGCCAAGTTTTAACATAAAAGTACACCTGGTGATTAAGAAGAGTGTAAAGGAAGGAATTTTGAGTGTGAAATAGAAGGAAAGGACATCAGTGCTACATGACAATTGTTTAAATATATTAAATGCATTTGGCAACTCTTTACCGCTGCAAAAATTCAGTTTTATTTCTTCAATAATTTACGAAGAGCCAGTCGACATAGAACCATTTTGAGTGGATGGCCGTAGGTTTAAAACGCTTTGCCATAGCTCCATTTGGTGGGAATGATATTCCTTCATTTATAATCTATTCACCATTAACAGGAAAAATGTTTGACTTTTCACATAACTTAATAAATCAACTTCTTCTTCGCCCTCGTATACATGTGTACCTCCAGCTTAAATGACCAGTCAGCTTAATTTCCCACACCACTTGACGTCACGATGTGATAGGTTTGATAACACAATCAGAAAATATCCGGAGTCGTGGATTATCCTCGTCCAGAATATACGTTGTGAGTACCCTCTACCAAGGCCACAGGTTGATTTTTCACTTGATATTCACAGAAATTCATAAAGGGTATAGGAGACATTCAAAAGACCTAAAATTAAAAGCAAACGATCAATGTGCGACTTTTTAACCAGTGCAATAAACAAATTCCAAAATTAACTGATATATTTAAACTTCATTTTTAACCTTGCATTTTAGTTATTTTGTTTTAAATTTGTTTACATATGTCTTTTAATATTCCTTTATTCTTATTCATTAGTGGTTTTATTCAACTATGATGTAATGATTGTGATTATCCAACCCTCGGGTTGCAAATTTGGTAATAATAATAATAATAATAATAATAATAATAATAATAATGATTATGTGCATTTGTTCAGTACTGTGGCCCTGTGCTGATTTCCGAGCGATATTTACAACTGCTCGGGCACTGTCACTTGACAAATCCCTGATGAGAAAATCCCACGAACCACATGATTTATTCGTCAAAGAGATAATTGAAGTGTTTCAATTTTAAGATTTTAGATTTTAAATTATTTTTGAAATAAATTATGCTTAGATACATACCCGGTAGATGTATATGGAGGGACTGGAAATTAATTCAATTCACGGTCTTCTGATTAGATGAATATTTTGCCTTTAGCACACTTTCTGAGTGTCTGTATATAGATTCAATCTACAGCATGTGTGTTCTCGTTCCGGGAATAAATGACTAACTATAAGTACAGAAATAATTTATATAAACCATGGACAAAATTACGAAGGGATGGGAAATACGTCATCTTCCTTTGAATGCATTCTGCATTCGGGAAAATATTCATCAATTGTCGTGTGAATTTGTCGCAGATGGGCTGTTTCGAAAGCTCCACGACAGCCCGAACAGATCATAAGCGACGTCACGCTCGTTGTGCCTCAGTGACTTTCTATTGTTATTTTCTACTTACAGTGCAATTTTTCGTGGTCTCTCGTGGTTGCTATGATACAAAATTGCCGCCATTTTGCAGTTGCTAAGCACTTGGGCTTGCTTCAGCACGTGGATATTTATTTCGGTCTTTTTAATATCTTTATTCCGCAATGTTATAAATATTTGTTAAGGGATTCTCACATTTGTCTTCCAACTGTTGACGTTTCCTTTTGGTGAAGCAGCCAGTGACAAGAAAAGGATCAGCGCACAGAGATTGAAATTTTCTTGTGTGATAAGTACTTATTTTCTCACACCCCGGTAATGTCTGTCAAATGTACAGTGGTAAGTGTTCACGCGTTTTCTTAGATGGTACAATGTACCTACTCATTTAACATGGACGACTGCAGCTCCTACTTACGCAGCCGCTTAATTGGTAATACTGATCTTTTTGCGTTCACAATTCACTTATTCAGGTGACACTGATCAAAGTCAGTCAATTGTCACTGGCCACGGAGAATGTCTTTTTTTTTTTTGTTTATTTTGTTTGTTTGACTGAATGGCTGCAAATGGCCTTTAAGGGTGGGAGAGTCAAATGACAGAGAATTCCAACACGACTTTTTTTCGCAAAAAGAGTTAGGTAAAGTTCTTAACATCTGATAACAAGATTAAATCAGGAGGTTGTAATAAGCCTCCGGCTCTTTTTTCATCATAAGCTAGGACAATATTGCGCCTTAGACTGGGTTCCCACAGATTGAGATCGATCCATCTGGATCGACCTAACTCCTTGGGGGTTTACGCTAGATTGCTGTCATGTTCCGAGAGCCGAGCGCGCACAATAGTTAATTACCCCTTTACAGTTTTTAGTAGGCGGGACAGACATTCAAGCCGGTCAGGCTGACAGCAATTTAGTGACACTCCCCAGGGGGATAGATCGATCTAAATATCTGTGGGAATGGTCTCTTAGACTGGGTTCCCGTCCCTAGATCGATCTAACAGGCTCGGTCCAACTCCACGGGGACCCTCGCTAAATTACTTTCAGCCCGAGCGGCTCAGACATCAGGGACGCCCACTAAAGCTGCTAAACGATAGTTAATTACCCCTTATCAGCTTCAGTAGGCGTGACAGACATCTAAGCCGCCCAAGTTAATTGTAATTAAACGAGAATCCCTCTCGGAGATAGTTTGATCCAAAGTTAGTACGATAGTCTGTGGGAATGGTCTCTTAGTCACAAGGTACATGTAAGAGGTATTTACGGTAACGTGCCAAGCACGGGCCCAGTCGACGGGCCCAGTCAATCCGACCAAAAAAATTATATTATAAAATTAATTTTTCTGGACTCTAACATTTAGTCCATACTCAAAATCATGCGACAGAATTTTTTTCTAGTTCCGATTGTTCGACCACATCGTCGGCAAGACTCGGTAAATTTTCAAGCCAGTGAAATAGATGCTGCATGCCTCGGCCCTTTGTCAATTGTTGTCCTTTCAATAGCTCTCGTCAGTGAGGAAGAAGCAATTAATTGAAGATCTAATCTGGAAGCGTGAAGTACCTGTCATTTCCTTTGTCCCCGATGACAATAATAGTGCTTATAGACATACAACAGTTTTTAATAGCTCTGCTTGCAAACAGAGCAAAGTTTTGCTATTAATTCACACTTTTCTTTTTAATTTATCCTTCAGAAAATACAGATATTTTCCCAAAAGGTCAACAAAACATTAAAGGGCAGACCTTTTCCTATAATCTGTATAAATATAGATAATTGAAATAACACACTAACAAATGGAGCCCAACTTTAATTTAACATTTCTTTAGTAAATGTTAGTAAATCAATCTGCGTCTTTTCTTTAAACATTGAACATCTTTAAAAGTATCATCCTCAGATGTATTTTACAAATCACAGGTAATGAAATACCACTATATCTCATTTGCCACACCTGTAAGTATCATAATATGTGCCTTGATCTAAGACATCCCCTGCACATGCCATACAAACAAACTGGCAGCTTGGCCAGTCAACTTGGTCTAAGCAAGAAGTTATAATGAGAAGGCCTTCTCTTTATAACTTCTTGGTCTAAGACATCCCCTTTATAATTACACGTCATACAAACAAACTGGCAGCTTGGCCATTTAACCTGGTCTATTAACTTGCCCATTATGCTGTTAACTATGCAAAGACATCTTATAGAATGGGCCCAGAAAGGGCATAATTAACAGGGGGTTTGGGCTTTTTTATGCATAGGACTAGATTTGGTCGGGGCCTTTGACATGTATATATATATATAAACGTCAGTTGTAAAACCTACTGTGATTCGCTATTTATGCGCTATTGACGTGATGCGTGGGATGATATATACCCGCATAATTATGTCAAGTGAAAAGAAAAAAGCCCGTGATTCGCTGTTTCCCAGGACAGGTCATCCAACGTGTTTATAACTAGTGTGCGGACGACACACTGTAATCTCAGGACACCGTGCCATCGGATAAACACCATGGGTGCGCTGCAGACCATTTGCCGACAACTGATACTTTATACTTCACTTCGGACTGTCCTTGTTTTTACCTTAGTAGTGATGGTCATTTTTATGATTTTCCAAACTTTCCGAGGAAAACAGAGGAAGAACCTTCCCCCGGGCCCCTGGGGGTTGCCGATATTGGGCTGCTTACCGTACCTTGGGAGAGATGCTCACGTTGTACTTACCAGGTGGGCAAAAACCTACGGCGATGTTTACAGCGTTCGTTTCGGGACGGTGCCTGTTGTTGTTCTGAACGGCTTTGGCGTTATCAAGGAAGCGCTGGTCAAGCACGGGGTGGACTTTGCCGGACGACCTGACCTGTTTACATTTAGGACGCCGCACCACAGGGGGTTGCGCTATAAAGGTGGGCTATCTATTAATAAAACCCCCTTTACACTGGACGGCGTCCTTTCTGCGTCCTTTGTGAGACAGTTGACACTGGCATCACTGTGGTTGTAATAAGTGCTTTGGTTGCAGAATGATCGGCCAGTTTTCGACACTTGAATAATATTTTTTTTTACTCTCAAACAGGACCGTACTACAGTACGCAGAAAGGACGCCGTCCAGTGTAAAGGGGGCTTAAGTGTTCGTCGGGCGCTTTTTCAATGATGGCGTGTAGACCTTACATAAAAAAAAGAAAACGAATGGAAATTATGGGTTTTGGATGCAATGCTGTAAGATATTCAAAATCGTCGACGTTCCATGACTGAAGCTTTACAAAAACAATAATAACGATTGTCAAAAAGTTTTTATTTATGATAGATCCAGTTATTTGAATAACCTGTTTCGTCTGTTCACTAAGACAGACTTGGTTACAACTGAAGGAGAATGGGTAATTACCTCAGTCTTGATATTGTTATGGTGAGAGATGACGACGATTTGGAGCATTCGAACATTTATTCACCGACTCCCTTTTCATACAATTTCACAAGTATTTAAACTCTATTTCTCCCTTCTGCATTTACTTGTTTTCTTTCCATTGTCTTTGCGTGCCTACAATGAATTTTCCATTCTCTTGTTGCAAACCACCATTTCATTATTAGGCAATCTCTAAGTGACTTATTTTCAATTAAAAATATTTAAAATATTATTTGAATTTTTCATGCTTGGACCATATTTTTAAACAATCCAGGGATATGCATAAATGGGCCCTATTCCAAATTTGTATGAGATTGACTCCATGCCTCGGCTGACGTCTAATTTTGATAACCAGTAATTATAACACACCTTTTTATAAAGAAGTTACGTATAGTTTCACCAAGCCTAAGCAATTTGTATAAATTGACGCTCTTTATTTTAAAGAAATCGCCTTCCAGGTTTCTGTCGTAATATTTACTTTACCACGGTTGAATATAAAATGAATGGCCGCATGTCTGGGTCACTGGATGACTTACATGTACTTAGCTGTCTAACTTCAAATTAATGTAGGTTTATTATTTGAGATGCCATAGATTATCTACATGAACGAAGATGGAATGCTTTAATTATGCAGACATTTGATCATACGTGTATGTTGAAGTGTTTAAAAACGTACGAGTATAAAACATTATATTAAAAATAAGGTCTCTGCCTTAATACGGTTTATTATTCGAAAAAAAAAATACAATTTCTGGTAGATAAATCTATTTGCAACGTGCTACACGCTCTGTAAAGAATAATATTGATAGCTAGATAGATGCATAGATAAATTAAGTCCGTATAAATGTACTAGAAGCGTGAGCAACGGGTGGCTACTCTTCAGTGAGGTTGTCCAAAGTCACTAAACATGGGATCCTCCGCAGCCACTCCTGCCATTACTACTGGGACCAAGTTATCGTTATCATAATGCATCATTATAACCATTATACTAGATCATTATTATTATTATTATTATCATGTAGCGTGATGTTAAGATGAAACTGCATCCTCGAGTGACCAGTGACCAACAAACGTACTGAAGGGAAGATATCTTTGTGTTAACTCCAATAGTCGACAATAACGCCTATAACTTATTTCCGTTTCTGCTTTTAAAGACCTATTTGCTTATTTGGCCACTTTTATATTTGCCGAGCGAACCAACACATTGTCTATTAATTGTTTGACGTTTTGAACGCATATTTGTCCCTTGTCCTTTGTACTTGCATGCACGATGTCGGTAGACTAAAGCTACTTTTAAACTTTGTGCTAGTTTCGAAAAATGATTTTTTAAAGAATTTGAGGAGAAATTTATCAACTGTATTAACTACGGTTGTATGTCTTTCAGGTATTTTGGTGGAAAACTACGACAGACAGCTGGAGGAAAGGCGCCACTACACCATGCGGCTTTTTCGAGTACTCGGGGTCGGTAGGACAAATCTGGAATCCGCAATTTTTAAATCACAGTTGGAGGTTCTGATGAAAGACTTAACAAACACGGGCGGCAAGGCAATCGATATATTTCCGATTCTACGAGATTCCGTAGCCAATATCACATTAGGGATAATTTTCGGATTTCGCCTTGTACACAACGACCCCCAATATGAGGGAATTCTGGATACAGTGCACAAAATGTATGAACTCAACACAAAACTAAACGTTGTGAACTTTGTTCCCTTTTTGGAAAAGCTTCCGTTGCCAGTTCTCAAAGAATTCGATGAAGTTTCTACTCGTTTGGTTTTGCAAGTAATTGCATGGTTCAAAGGACAGGAAAACAATAAACACGTAGATTCAAATCACATGAAATCTTTTGCCAATTGGTACAAAACTGACGTTTTGAAGTACAAGCAGTACGAGATGGATGAGAAAGTGACATTGAAAGAAAATGACAAGAAACCAGCTTTGAATGATTCTATACAAGCGAATGGACAAGAAAAAGATGTCAAATTGGATAGCATATTTTCCGAAAACCAAATTATTTCTGTCGCTATCGACCTTTTTATGGCTGGGTTTGAGACCGTTACAACAACGTTACGATGGGGTTTTCTATATATGGCATTGCACCCTGAAATCCAGGCAAAAGTTCAAGAAGAAATTGACTCAAATTTAGGAGACCAAAACCCAAGTATTACAGACAAAGGTGCACTGCCGTACACAGAAGCAACCATCATGGAAATACAACGACTGAATTACGTCCTTCCATTAGCCGTGCCACATTCTACCACAACAGACGTGGAATTTCATGACTACACCATCCCTAAAGATACCATGGTACTTGTGAATCTCTGGTCTGTCATGACGGACCCCGTATGTTGGCCAAATCCCGATAAGTTTGACCCGCAGCGCCATCTGAACGAGAGAGGAAGAACCATACGCCACGATGTATTTACCCCTTTTTCTCTAGGTGAGTTGTAGACAGCTTTTTAAAAAATATGACTTGCATCTGGTGACAATGTGTATTATTTAAGCGTTAATATTACTCATCGTCTAAACTTGCATTCAAGTGATTTGCATATTTGTTTAATTAATTCATTTATTAAGATGCATTTAGGCATGACAGATTGCATGTAGTGAGCCATTAATAGTACTGATAGTTAGATTTCCAAGTATGTGATATGCATATTTGTTAATGTAAATTCAATCTACAATTAAGTTTTAATTTATTCAAATGTATATAAGCATGGCATGTTGCATGTCAGATATGGAAGTCCATTTTAAATCTAAATTAAAACCAAGTATAAAAGCAGCGACCGAGCTACAGCTAAAGAGAGATACAGGAGACTTATAGGAGAGAGATATATAGATAGAGGCAGAGATATAGATACATAAGACAGATGATCCGCGGACTAGCTGATCCGTGGACAAATAAGGCCGACCTCATTTGAAAGCCATGCCGAATAAGCCCCCGCCTACCCCACGCGCCAGGCCTGAAGGGGCCGAGTTAACAAACGGATAAAATCTCGGCTCCGATATAAATTTATTATAAACAAGTTACAGCTTTGATCTCGAATGGGCATAACATTTATCTTTGCAGGTAAACGATCTTGCGTAGGAGCAGCACTTGCTAGAATGGAGCTCTTCCTTTTCTTTACCTCCTTGATGCAGAAATTTACATTTCGTCTCCCAGACGGCGCTTCAGCTCCTGTGTTTGAGGAGGGCACTTTGGCATCAACGTTCAGCCCCCCTTACCACCAGCTCTGCGTGGTTAGTAGGGGCCCGAAGACTTAATCTGACAGGCTTGTCGACCGATATTTCCTGTTTTTAATCTGTAAATACTGTGGTCAACTTTATTCATCTTTCAACTAGTTAAAACTAAAGCATTTAAAGTTTTAATTCTTTTTACACATTGTTCTACACGCAATGGACAATAGAAGTGTCACCCCCTGAATCAGAGTAATCAGTTTTTTTTTTTTTTTTTTTTTTTTTTTTTTTTTTTTTTTGAAAGCTGATGTTAATAAAATGATACCAGGAGCATATCATTTCACAGTCATTTATCTCTCCCAAAGTATTGGTTCAGTAGGGGTGACACTTCTATTGTCCGTTGTGTGTGTATATGAAAAGTGTTATCATTGTAGCGTATACCGGTAAATCTACATGGGTATAGGTGAAATTGTGCAATAGAAATGTAACTATAAATAAGTAAACTGTAATGTCTAGGTCTCTCTTGGCAAGTGAGGTCTGAACTAATGCAACCAGAGATCCGATTTCTTTGCATTTCATAACAATGACAATTTTCTCATCTGTTATTCTTCGACTAAATTTTGTATGTGTTTTGTAAATATCTGTAGTATAATTTTACCTCACTGCGTATTAGAATGATTTTATCTCTATTTATGTGTGATTTATGTCTTGCACGTTTTATTTCTTTTATCCTTGAAGGGGGAATAAATAAATAAATGCATAGTGTTTGTTAACTGTTATAATAATTCAACGCTTTTTTAACAATTGCAGATTTTTCTATATGGAAAAAAGTTTCGATAAGATAACCTTTAGTTATCTGAGTCCTGTAATAGGCCTACCATAGAACTTTTATAAAAAAAATAGACTAGGGATTGTGATATAGGTTACTACTATAAAAGTGAATATTAGCCTGTACCGTTTTGATGCCATAGGCTATGGATTGGGGGGGAGGGGGGGGGGGCAAAATAAAGCAAAAATAGCGTTGAAGCAAAAACAGTGTAGGTCTATTTAGGCTTATTCTAGTTTCTAGAACAATGTGAAATCTGCTCCCTTCTAAGCCTATTTTTGTAAAGTCTCATTAGTTTCCGAATGTGTATTTTATTCATATGACTGAAATTAAATTACCCTTAATTGAAAGCAGAGTCATGTTTTAATACCGATGACGTGCACCAAAGAGCAACTGTCACATCTGCCATCTGATGATAGAAAACTGAAAAAAGTCTCACCATATGGATGAACAACAACCTATTAAAAATCTCTTAAAATTGTATTAATGAGGTGTATAAACCAAGATCTCTTCGAGTTAAAAATTAAAGCAGAGAAGAATGTGCATTTATGACTCTTTGACATTGAAATAAATCATTCAGAACAGAGAACTTGATCTACATCCAATAGCCTATGCCAATTTCCACTTTTTCTGACTTGTGTTATCAAAGAAGTTGACGTCGCACAGCCAAATGACGTCGCAGACGTCACAACCAATGTTTGATCACGCGCGCATTATGACGTAACGCTGCCAAGGAAAGCGTTGCTAGGCAATTAAACGCCCAAGCAGAATATTGACTTGGTCACGAGGATTATTTCTCGCGCAAATTTCAGCAATTTTATTTGATATTAGTGAAGTAGCCATGACTACCAGAGAGAATTCGTTCAGTGGACATGCGAAGAAGAGGATCAGACACACGAATGATCCTATTCCACACTGGAAAAAGACAAAATGTCTTGAATATTTGGAGGCTGAGGAGGAGCCGCCATGTCAACTTACAAGTCTGCCTCCAGAGCTCATGGAGCAAATTGTTCAGCATCTTGACACCAAGAGCTTTGTTCAATTTTCCCGCACATGTAAGACGTTCCAAGCATTGTGCCGTGATCCATACTTTTGGAAGCGACACGTTGAGGTAAGACCATGTATTAGTCGATAACTATAATACATCAATGCATCTATTCTCTATTCAAAACAAACGAATTTTAACATACGTTTAATTTTTTTATGATACATTCAGTTTTCCGCGATTATCGGTGCTTTTTTGAAAAAAAAAATCCAGAGGCATTTCATGGCGTGTAAGTCAAAACTTAAATTACCACTTCCAGAACGTGTATGACTTCGGGTTTGGTAAATATCTCATGAGAATCCCAGACCCTGCACTGGCTCCCAAGATGGTGTCAGCGCTGCTGTACAAACTGCAGTACATAAAAGGTCTGATCTACGAGAAGGAGTACCAAGGGTTAATGGCGGGAGATCCAGAGGTTATCACGTGTCTGTACGCACTGGATGCTAAAGACCCCTACTGGCAGCGAGGCAAACAGTTCCTTTTCTCCCAAATGTTGAAGCTATTCAACTTTCCGCTGCATTATTTCCAAGGTAAATATATGTTTATTCGCCCAGATCCATGTTGATTTAAGATATTCTAACAAAGCGGAGTTTTACTTATGGGCCCATTATTTTGATTGAAAAAAAAAACAAGTAAAAGTAAAACGTATGTCTTATGCACATCATCAAAACTTTATGATCTTTGTATTCTAGATCAAGATGAATCTTCGATAGAAGACATGGACCTCAGTTGGGGTGGTCTACTGTCCCTGCACCGGCAGCGAATGAACCGCCCCGGTTGTGATGTCAAGTTTTACGACTATTACATGGAATGCTTAACAGATAGTGAGTAGCTTACCTTAATACGAACTCGTTCTGTGAATACATCGATGTGGGGATATGATTTAGGCTAAATACCAAAGTGTTTTTTAAAAAATGATCGCTATGCCTAGTGATTTTAGGACATGAAAATAATTATATGTATGTCTGATATATAGAAGCAATGTGTACATTCATCTTCCAATTTCATCGTACATTTTTCTCAAATTTCTTTATTCAAGTGGTGAAGTGTGGGCTTTTGAACTCAAGTGAAATACATAAACCATTTTAACGAATCTGGGGACGAGTAAACCCCCTTAAATAAGATATTAACGTATATGCCATGATTTCATGTCGCAAAGAGAAAAATCAAATTACCACTTCCCGATGTATCTCTCCTCCTGTCAACCATTTTGACACAGTTTTAAAGCGTGCAGAATCTGAAAGTCATGGCGAATGAAAAGGAGCAAATGTTGATGGCACAAAGGAAATCACCATTTTCCCCAGTAAAATTATGTAAGTTCGTTTTTCGCGGGGGAAATTCTGTACTGTGTACCTGTAATGTGTAATGTGATAAGTTAAGAATTTTGTATTATATCTTAAAAAGAACATCTTTACTATTACAGATTACATCATAATAGAAGCTCTTTACGATGCTTGCGTACAGACAGTAGAAATAAGGACACTGGCTCGACTGTTGGAGGGTCACAGGTCGGCTGACACACCCATATTTAAGGCCATACGTGACGTTCAAATATTAGGTAACAACAAACACTCCTCCTTTAAAGATTGATTGATTGATTCTGAAATCAATTTAACACTTCTGTTTCAATTATTAGAAATGCTAGATTTTTCCTGAAGAGGTGTCTCTTATTTGTTTTGATTTTGATTTAATTGTCTTGTTTTGTTAAAGATGGAGACGAGGTCGACGAACTGTACGATATGGCCGAAGAATTGAACCTGGGACAGGGGCCCATCGTGGATATGCTAATGGATCACTTATTCAAAACCCACCCATTCTTGATGACAAACAAGGCCAAGATTCGAAGTGGAGAATTCGGTAAAAATAGAAATAATTGTTATTTATTTAGCTGTTTATTTATTGTATTTATTTATTTATTTATTTATTTATTTATTTATTTATTGTATTTTTGTTGTTATGTTATTTTCAAGGAATACCTTCGTAAATTAAATGCTGATACGACAAAACTTCAGGTGTGAGTAAAAATTGCATTGAATTGAATTGATTTGAATTGAATTGAATTGATTATGTATTTGGCGAAGTTTGTCAAAAGCCACTGCGATTGAACAATACATATTACCCGATACGTCTTTTTCAGACCTCGACAGCGTATTGAGGTACATGAACAACTGTGCCGACTTATACAGCGTTGTGGACCAACAGTACAAATCGTGGTGCTTGTTCAACGAGTACGACTTGGACTCACTAGAGCACTACGAGTCACTTGGACAGCGGTATTACGAAGTGCAGACATTGTACACCTCTTTTCTCTGGGACTTGCATTATCGCCAGAGTCCTTACGGTGCTCTGTGGGACCCTGGTAGAGCCAAGGAGGAAGTGGTGTGTTGGATGAATCAGTTGTGGACCTACGGGGCGGATATCTTGATCCGCCAGATGGCGGTAAAGAGGATGGTTCAGAAAAATGCTTGGTTTCATTTGATGCCCGAGGTTGAAGGGTCACGTTGGTACAGGTGAGGTTTTTCTTTGAGAGTGTGATGCACAAAATGCTTTTTTTTCTCGAGGCTTATTTGAAGTCACTCCGGGTAATGTTGTCGGCAATTTGGGGAAAATGTTACGGGTCTGAGGCAGGGGTTGGGTGGGGCTCGTGCTATTTCATCTAAACGTAAAAGTAATTTACTTACTGATTATTTCTGGACGGTAGACCCGTTCACTGGTATATTCTCTGTGCTTCTCTGTTTCAGCCAATACTTGGAGGAAGGCGACACAAGTCCGATCGCTCTGTCCAAGCTACAGGAAGAACTATCCCGCAGGGAAGACATTTTCTGCGCATTAAAAGAGATGAATGTTGGCCAGAGGGTGCATCGGACTCAGAAACGCCTGATAAAACTGTTGCTGCCCCAAGCATGCCACAGGGATGTTACATATTATGGTAGGCCTAAGTTATCTGTGTGTCGAGTTCGATTTTTTTACATCAATTATTAAAAAATTTCTTGGGAATTGATAAATGATAAATATAATGGATGGTCTGTGTCATATATTCTTTTTATTGACATTTTAAATTGAAATTAAAAAAAACAACAACTTTTGTTTAGACTTCAAATTTTTTCCTGTAGGCCTTTTTTGAAATCTATTTTTCGCTGCAGCATTTTTCTAGTTAACAATACAGAATCATTCAGTACAGTGTAAATCTGATTAAAAAAAATAGTTCACGTTTTGTATTAAATTTCAGACGGCCCTATTCCATACGGACCTTGCACCAGGGCCCTGCAGTATCGCAGACTGCACAAACTTGTGAGCGACTACATTGACACAGGGAAAGAGGAAACATTGGGAGAAATTTGGGACTTCATCATGTTTAAATTGAGAAGTTTCTTCGTTGAGGAGGAACATCTGCGAGTCCCTAGCCACAGCCGGCAGCGCGGACGTATATATAGTGGTAGGAGGAATGTTGCCGTGAGAGAATCTCGGTGTGCGGGCGGCTTTGTAACAGAGGGCCACGCCCAAACGACTGCGTGTACTACAAGCCAAAACAACAGCGCATCTGTCGTTAGAGATTTTGTTGGACTTGAATGCGTTGGCAGGAATACCATGCAGGTTTTTGACAGTGGATTTGCCTTTGAATTTCACAACTCTCGTAGTGCATGAACTGGAGTATACATTACCTCTACCACCGAGAGTTGGCCGGTTTGTAATTTGTATATCTAAAATTCTTTGAATTTTTAAAAGAACCCTCACGATCATTGTTTCCATCTGCATGAGTTCTTCGACTTAAGAACTGAAAGTATGGGGTTTCTGTGTACCGTTATCCACATGGACGCTCGCCATGATCATGCACCTATAAATAGGTAGGCTACATGTCAAGTATTGGATCTTGCCTGTGTATGGTCGCAGTGTAAAAGATCATAGTGACAATTCACATATTAATGGTTATATTATGTCAAGCTCAGTATTTCGATTGTACTGCAAAATGCGTATTAGGATCATGCACTGCTTTGATTTTGTTTTAGAAAGTTTACGCATAAGAAATGGTGGATTTTACACACTTTTGGACTGTGCAATATCTATACATATATATATTTGTTACAAGGTCAATTTTATGTAGATTTGACTTTTAGAAAAATATTACATAGACGGTGAATCCAGCAGTATACATCGTCAAAATTGCACAAGACGGTCAATTACAAATGAAAAAAAAAAAAAAAAGGATTAGGATTTTCTTAAATAGGTTGGTATGTAGTAAATGTGAGACAATTGAACAAGTCTACGCATTTTTAATTTTTTTAGGATCACTGAGCAGCCTGGTCAGTGATGATCCATATATTAATGGTTATATGTCAAATTTTGTTTTACCATTGTACTGTAAAATGCGTATTAGGATCATGCACTGCTTTGATTTTGTTTTAGAAAGTTTACGCATAAGAAATGGTAGATTTTACACACCTATGGACGGTGCAATACCTATACACATATATTTATTATAATTTTATGTAAATGTGACTTTTAGAAAAATATTACATAGACGGTGAATCCAGCAGTATACATCGTCAAAATTGCACAAGACAGTCAATTACAAATGAAAAAAAAAAAAAATAATAATAATGATAAAAAAGAATTTTAAATTGGTCGATATGTAGAAAATGTGAGGCAATTCTACAATTCTAGGTATTGGAAATTTTTTAGAATCACTGAACGGTCTGTTTAGTGATATGTTTAGTGATGATATTAATAGTTATATGCACAATTTGTTATTCCATTGTACTACACAATGCGTATTAGGATCATGCACTGCTTTGATTTTGATTTAGAAAGTTTACGCATAAGAAATGATAGATTTTACACACTGATGGACGGTGCAATACATAGACAGTGAAGCCAGCAGTATACATTGTCAAAATTGCACTAGGCAGTCAAAAAAAAAAAAAAAAAGAGTAAGGATTATTTTTAATTTGTCGTTTCGTAGAAAATGTGAGTCAATTGTACAAATCTAAGTATTTTTGAAATTGTTTAGGATTCCTGAACAGTCTGCTTAGAGATACCCATCTCCATGTCAAAGTATATTTTAAATGTCGCATAGATCTATATTTTCATACAAATGATTACTCACATGCGTAACTATACTTTACAGTGTATGCACTGTATCACAATGAACCATATGTGTGCATTTCTATACATAAGTATTTGAATATACATATTTCTCTGTATGATGTCATACAATATGTAGAATAAGGACCAGTTATTTGGTCTGTACTTGCCAGTATGCGGAGACATATTTATAGCATACGAATAAACATTATGCCATAAATATCAATTTCGTTTTTTGAATTTTTTCAAGCTCGATAACTTTAAAAAGCCAACTTAAAGAAATGAATATATCGACAAACAACGAAGAGGGGTTTGCTTTTAAAGGCAATGTTGCGAGACTTTGATCACTCTTGCTTTAATAACAAAAAGTTTTGAAAATTTTGAAAATTTGCCAGTAAAACTTTGAATGACGGAGTACGTGATAAAGATAGAGATCAAATATAAACAAAATTTGATTACTTGTGATTAAAAGTTACGATGTATTTTAGATGTAAAAAGATGTAATTTTTCAGTTTCACCTTAAAATTTTGGTCATAAGCTTCCATTGTGGACTGACAAAATAGCTTGATATGCATGCATTTTGTGGTGCTTCAAATCATAATTCTGAACACAAATTTCAAATGAGTAAGATCAGTGATTTTATTGAAATACAATGCCAAAAAATGTAAGATGTAAAATTCATGAAATTATATGACATCTCATTTCGCAAAACTAGACTTTCCCCCGCCAAGCCAAATGTCACTACAAGCAGCAGATGCTCCAAAGATGCAAACGTTCTCTAAAAAAACATCGCCACAGAATCTCGGTTCTCCCGGCAGCGCTGCCGCCTTTCCCAAGTCACGTGCAAATCTCGATGATCCGGGCCAAAATTCTCACACATTACCACAGCTGTTACTCTTTGACCTCAACAACAAAGTGTCAACAAGCTAGGACACCCCAGTGTCAGCAAAGCTGAACAACCCAGTGCCGTCACACCACGAGGAGAGCCTGTATAAGACTTCCATGGTCCGGCATACAGGACAGTCCTCGACCGGAACAGCGCCTGGGTCGCTTGAAGAGGTCGCCAAGCGCGAGCCACGACGCCGTGATCAAACATCGACTCTTCACACCTCCACTTACAGCGACCTGGTAGTCGACAACAGACACCACAAGGATTGCTTCCACCCCGTTTTGACATTTTAAAGAGCGCATTATTCTCAATGGTGCCCCCGCGCTTGGAATGGCAAGTTGCTTAACGAGGTAAAATCCAATTTAACGTCTTGAAATGCCATAAATTTTCCGAATTTGTACAAATTAAGGATCAACTAAAGTGAATACAAGGACAGATTTTTGGTTACATGCCCGGTTGACGTACAGTATTCACAGACAATACAATGCGTTTTACATGTTTTCAGTACAATGACACCCAGAACTAACTGGCTACAAGATATTCTAGGTCATACTAGTTCAGTTATTTTCAATGGTTCGCAAGATCATTAAATCAACTAACACTTAAGTAATTTATCAAACAAAATAACAGTAATTTGCCAAGAAAGGTGACATGAATAATCTGAATATTAAAAAAAAATATCTCAGATACCAGAAAAGGCGTCTCGTTTCTAACACTTACGCCATTTAACAAACAAAATAATATAATAGTACTTTGCCGAGAAATGTGACATGAATAATTTAAAAGATTTTAAACAAAAATACCTCAGGTACCACAAAAGGCATCTCGTTTGTAACACTTACGCAATTTAGCAAAACTAAATAACAGTACTTTGCCGAGAGAGGTGACATGAATAATTTAAAAGATTTAAAAAATATATATCTCAGATACCAGAAAAGGCGTCTCGTTTGTAACACTAACGTCATTTCACTAAACAAAATAACAATACTTTGCCGAGAGAGATGGCATGAATAATTTGAAAGGTTTTTAACAAAATTATCTTAGATACCAGAAAAGGCACCTCGTTTCTATCACAGAAAATAGTGCGTAGTATTAATTTATCTTTTGGGCATAACAAAATGTAATTTGATTGAAAAGCTATTGTTCTAAAACTCTCAAACTTAACAGATCTAGACCAATTATAACCAATGAAACAAACCAAAGTGGAATTCTGTAGCATGTGAGTGTAAAATATAATATATGAACTGTTTGTCTTACACAGAATATAAATACCCTATATTTTGCTGATTTGCTGATGTGATATCACAGAGTAAAATAACTAGAATAACTGACTCACTATTGTAGCACAACTGAGTACATGGTAAATAAGCGGTGAATTTATAAGTCACAACTGAGCAAATATTAATACCCTGAAGTTTTTGAATTTCTGAATTTTGGTTATGAGGAAGCAAATAGAATGATATACTTTAGGATGAAGAAAAAGAAAACCATATACACTGCTTCTCTACTGGATGGCATTTGCAGAAAGGCAAACACACTACACGTGTCTTTTAGTTGTTGCTGTGAGCATTGTCTTTGACCTGGCATCTGCTTTTAGTCTGGCGCCTGATCTGTCTGAGAGGATGGCTCTTAACAGTTGTGACCAAATGCTCAACACCTCCATTCCTCTTGCTGGCACGAGGTTTAGCTATTAGGCCCTGGCCATGTATATCAATGGCTGGAAGTTTGAGATCCTCAGCCTTGTCCTTAGTCATGGTTGGTAGTGGACTCTGACTCAGGGGGGCCAGTTTGGCAGTAGGAGGAGGGGCGGGGATAAAGTTTCTGAAATTAAATAAGAGTGCACATTTATGAACTCGGAAAGAAATCGTGCTTCCCTGAAAGGATTTGACCTAAGAAATTTGGGACAAGACAGCAATGCTAAGGGAAGTCAATGATGAAAGATTGTAGTTGCAGTGATTGCACCGGCAGTACTAGAAGCACAACTAGCACAATCTCAGTCTGCCTCTCCACTTATGATTTGCATAAGTGAGAAGTAGTCCATGTGACCTTCTAGCCTTTTCTATGCCGAGTTTGGCAGACATTTTAAAAGTAGTGAAACAGGCATGACCTTAGCTTAGGAGATCTTAGAAGATAGCCAAAAAGTAAGCATTTGCCATTTTTGTTATTGTTTAAAAGTAATGTTGTTCACACTTTATTGTTACATTAAAAGTGTATGTTTAAAATTAGAGAATGTACTGTAGTTGCTACTAGTAATTGTTTGGTCTTACAATAGTGTTACAATAGTGTTAGCAATATAATGTGTTATCAAAAGCAAGCAAATTTATGAAATGACAAGTATGTAGCTTTGTGTTAACGAGGAATTGACTACCTTTTATAAACAATTGTGTGGAAATTGTATAATAATATTTAAATTTGGTTTGATGAGATTGCTTTATGAAATATTTATTATTTATTTATTTATTATTGTTTTTCGTTTTCCCTTTAGTTTCACGGTTGTTTGTTGATTCAGGGACAAATAAAGAATACAGTACAACCTGTCTTCATTCCCTCTTGTTACATTTCTGTCTCCAAAGATCATCAGAGGAAACAACTTATGTTAAAAGCTTAGACCCCATTCCCAGAGATTAGATCGATCCAACTAGATCGACCAAACTTCCTGGGGGTTCACGCTAAA